TGACTGTGTGTGTTGTAATGGACCAATGACTGTGTGTGTTGTAATGGACCAATGACTGTGTGTGTTGTAATGGACCAATGACTGTGTGTGTTGTAATGGACCAATGACTGTGTGTGTTGTAATGGACCAATGACTGTGTGTGTTGTAATGGACCAATGACTGTGTGTGTTGTAATGGACCAATGACTGTGTGTGTTGTAATGGACCAATGACTGTGTGTGTTGTAATGGACCAATGACTGTGTGTGTTGTAATGGACCAATGACTGTGTGTGTTGTAATGGACCAATGACTGTATGTGTTGTAATGGACCAATGACTGTGTGTGTTGTAATGGACCAATGTGCGTTGTAAATGATAAAGCATTTATTTAGTTATAATGTTTATTGCATTATTACTTTGATGTCTTCACGTTTTGACCATATTGCCATCCTGACACAACATCACTGATAGGATCAATGATATCTCCCTGCAAAAACAAAATACATAAGAAAAAGCATTAGTGTGAGTATAGAGCCATGTTATCTTGTTCATGTCCAAATTGGAGCATTTTTATTAGTAACAAAGAAATTTGCAAACAAAAATAATCATTTCTGTGTAATGTCTGCATTGTTTTGTTGTATTCTGTGGTATGACGGTGATAGAGGCGATTTCATATGACGGGAAAGTGATGCTGAAGTGATACGACTACAGTACGGTTACAGTATGGACACGATTCGTCATCACTGTTTCCCAGTCATACAAATCGCCTCAAATTGACCTTTAATAATACCATGGTACCTGTTTGAATGACAGCTGTGAATCCTCTGCTGCATTGTGATCAAATACAGCCATAACCTTGACTTTGCTGAAGATAATTATTTTATCTCAGTTAATAACTTACTCAATACAAACATTTTAATGATCATCGTCACTATTTTCATACCAGTAATACATTTATCAACACCTACAAGTCATCTCTCACTGTAAAACAGTGCGATCACCAACTGCACATGATTGCAATAGCTTCTAATATGCTTTTCATGACACTATCGATATGGCTGCTTACTGCAATATAGTTTATTAATGCTACGGTAGTTGAGTGATAAAGACACTGATCTAACAGTCTGTATTTCTTCATGATCCAGTACGCATTGTACTATACCTTGTCATGTGACCAAGTGGTTCTACCTCTTGTGCTATGGATCCATTCAGCTAAAAACACAAATAAACCAATATAACTGGATTGCACAGTGATGACATTGGAAGAAAAGATCACCATTGAGATGACTGCAAATTAAGAGAGAAACAATATACACAAGCCACTGTTTCCCGTATGCCATCTTGCAAAGTAATGYTATGATAACTTTCCCTAATGAGTGCTTCCTTGAAACAACAAAAGACACTGGCATGCAATGATAAAATATTATAAACTAGAAAAAACAATGTCTTTAGTTTTCTAACATTTACATCATGCTCAATGGTCAATTTTTTTTCTTTCAATGCAAAGACTTGGCCACCTTTCAAGATGGTGCAGAGAGCTAATGACAGAGTCTAACCCACCTTATAATGGTCTTGATATCCTGGTTTCTTCTTGACTTGTGAAAACCAAGTGGAAAGTTTTTCTCTGAGCATTGCAGAATTCTAAATTCAGAAATTAACAAAATTCAATTTAATYCAATTTCCCCTAAAATATCTCTTCTAATAACTTAGAGTCCTGTCATATCAACTTTTTATTAATAATTATAGTAACGTACAGCATTGCAATGAATTTCCTTCAATGAAMATCTCTTTATTGACCGCCAAAAACATTGATATGAACCAGTTCATCTAAGTTTACAAACAAGGAAATTGAAAGTTTAAACTTTGATGGATAGCAGTATAATATACTTAGTCCTACATGATCATAGAAGTCCATGAAACTCTTCATAAAAATACTTGAACGGTCGACCACAAACACGTATCGTTTCCATTCCTCGGATAGAGACTGTTAGAAGGAACATAATAACATTGAGTCATGGGAAATGTATCAGTCTACAAAGTTGCACTCCTCAGGGGGGTGAGCAGGGGTTTCATTTGTTGGGTTCCTGATTTGTTGTGTGTTTTCAAGACTGTGAAGAAGGCAATTGATGAGCAAAGTTGCACCAAACAAACTCTTGGAATATCCAAAAACGTGTCAGAAAAGGAAGCACTGTCTTGAGTGTTGTACTTTTGTTTCATGTGCATGTCATATTTTCTCATTTCAATACTACCAAAGGAAGGTTCTGTGAATGTATTGCCATGTGTTATGGTTCTGTGAATGTATTGCCATGTGTTATGGTTCTGTGAATGTATTGCCATGCGTTATGGTTCTGTGAATGTATTGCCATGTGTTATGGTTCTGTGAATGTATTGCCATGTGTTATGGTTCTGTGAATGTATTGCCATGTGTTATGGTTCTGTGAATGTATTGCCATGTGTTATGGTTCTGTGAATGTATTGCCATGTGTTATGGTTCTGTGAATGTATTGCCATGTGTTATGGTTNTTTCCATTCCTCGGATAGAGACTGTTAGAAGGAACATAATAACATTGAGTCATGGGAAATGTATCAGTCTACAAAGTTGCACTCCTCAGGGGGGTGAGCAGGGGTTTCATTTGTTGGGTTCCTGATTTGTTGTGTGTTTTCAAGACTGTGAAGAAGGCAATTGATGAGCAAAGTTGCACCAAACAAACTCTTGGAATATCCAAAAACGTGTCAGAAAAGGAAGCACTGTCTTGAGTGTTGTACTTTTGTTTCATGTGCATGTCATATTTTCTCATTTCAATACTACCAAAGGAAGGTTCTGTGAATGTATTGCCATGTGTTATGGTTCTGTGAATGTATTGCCATGTGTTATGGTTCTGTGAATGTATTGCCATGTGTTATGGTTCTGTGAATGTATTGCCATGTGTTATGGTTCTGTGAATGTATTGCCATGTGTTATGGTTCTGTGAATGTATTGCCATGTGTTATGGTTCTGTGAATGTATTGCCATGTGTTATGGTTCTGTGAATGTATTGCCATGTGTTATGGTTCTGTGAATGTATTGCCATGTGTTATCTGAGGAAAACATTAACTGCAATATTATTCAATACTCACCCTCTGACAAGATTCCCTTCTGAAGTTTTCCAGTTGTTTTTGCAAGTTATTATAATATTCATCACACTATGAGAAAGATGTTGTACAAACTAATGACATTTATTACACACAGTGGCTGCAGTATAAGATTGTTTTCAATCAACAAAACTTTAACAAGGCTCTGACACTGGGGTTAGCAAATAGCTACATTAAAATATTTTCTTTTTCAATTTTTTTTGCTTTTATTTGTTATCTTTGTTTGCTTTTGTTTTGTTTTCGGTTGTTTTTTTTTTTGTTCATGCTGCTTTATTACCTGTTTTTCTTTTTCTTCATATTTCTCAGTTGGTTTCTTGCGTTGACTTTTCTTTCTCACTTTCATTAAATCAGCTCTTGCTTTTTCCACTAACTGTAAAACGATTTTATTATGATTGTCAATAGCACGTTCCTGCTTACCATTAATAATGTACCATCAAAGCTTCATTCTTACCTCAACCTTTGTTTTGTTGTCATGGGTATAGTTCTTCAAAATYGCCTGTCACAAATTGAAACACTTTTTACTATCAATGAAGGTATTTAATTTATAAACAATGTCTATAAAACTTACTGATTCTGAAAATTATTTTCACATACTTACAATCAACACTATTAACCATTATCACATGAAATGATTACTGTATTCATAATACACTCATTCCCAATCATATTACTGTTATAAGTGTTGGCTGATTACTATTCATCATGATCTTGAAATACCATTGTCATGCTCTAGCTACGTGTACATACCTTCACATAAACATTATCAGACTCTACCAGGGATTCWACTGGAACTATCAGGTCATTCATCATCAGTTTAGACTGGCACACCATAATAGTAAACAAAATATCATTATTGACTGAGAATCATCTGAGAGAAGTGAAAAATAAACTAAAAAAATGGTTAGAGATTTATGTTGACCATAGTTTTAGATRGAGTCAAATGTCAAACACAGACTTTACAAAAGAAACAAWAAACAAACAAAACTAAATCCAAACAATAACAGAATCAGTAATTCAAACTGACGGGGGATTTTCCCACTAATCTGCACTAAAAACACATCCTTTATTTCCTCATGCAAAATCATTGTTAAGGGMCTTTAYAATGATTGCAAGTTTTGTATTCCCTAAATAGAGAGATATGATCTAAGATTAGTTTGGTTTTTCTTGTGAATCCAGCTATGACGTAACATCTAAGAGCTCAGTCACGTCTGTGACCTCTCTATCTTCGCTACAAGTACTTTTCAATTGTGAAAAAACTTACGATTTCTTGCCTTCGGTTCTCTATATCTTTATGAGTGTCCATTATATCTTGGAGAGTACCCCCTGGGAAAGTCAAAAATCAAGTTAAAAACGATAGTAAACAAAAAATGTTTTTTTAAAAACGACTCTTCCGAATGACTACAATGAGATTTATTCTCCCAGACGAAGGTTTCGAAATGTAGACACACACTTGAAAATTCCTGATAATTTTTATCACAACGATCAGAAATATAATAAGGTGAAATATTTTATTTAATTCTAGCAAGATTCTAGAAGCCTGAAATTTGTGAAGGTATTTGATTTTGACCAAAAGCGTAGATCAGCAATATTGACTGTAAATAATTACTTAAGTTACGTTACGAGGCAGTCAACACCACAAACAAAGGATCTTTTCAAGCATCATTAGCTATTCTTTTAAAACAACAAAACATTAAAAAGTTACCCTGAGTATTGAACTACATGAAGCTTACTTGATAGCTGTGAACCTCGATCTCGCTAATATTTAAGTTAAGTTAAGTTAATGGGTTAAAAAATTATGCCTAGCGCAATAAAAATATTTGTTTACAAGCTCTCAATTCAGAGAGCTGAAGAACGTTAGAACTACTATAATAATAGAAAAATTACCTTAGCATGGGGTACATTCTTACATAGAATGGCTCGGCAGTTGCTGCTAAAAGTTTTGAATTTTACAAATTGAGTAAACTTATGCGAAATTTTCAAATGGGACATTTTTAGCTTCTATATTGCTTAAAGAAATTCAATTCACTGTGACACGATAACAATTAAAACAATTTACTAGGAGAAGCCTACCTAGAAGATGAGCAGGTCCTTTTGAAGTCATAGCCATACGAGAAATCTTTGACAGCGCGGTGTGAAATGCCATGGCAGCGCTAGAGACATCTACACACAACCGTATAAATTAACAAGTACTCGTTCAATACAACTGTACCTCTCAGACTTACTTTGCAAAGCTTTGTGATAAGTTCTCGCAGCAGCAGAAAGTTCCTTGAGGACGGGAGCTATGTCAAAAATATTCTGCAAGCACGAACAGAAAAAATCAAAGTTGTGGTCAAACACAGTTGAAACGACACAATGGCC